CGCGATAGCGCATGTGTCTGTATGTGTTTGAGTGCGTGTGTGTGCGTGTGTGATGCACTATTGAGTGGGCCGGGCTGCGAGATGACAGCAGCGCAGGCGAGAGGAGGTCGAAGGACGGCTCAGACCCATGCTGCGGGGTTTGTGAGTTGCCGCCCATTTGTCAGGCGTGCCGGTAGAATACCCAGCCGCAGCCGGCGTTGTGGCGCTGCTGCTGCACCACAAGCCGAGGCCGCCGCGCACGCACCCTGCGGGCCGCGGCGCGGCTGAGGGTGGCGATGAGCTGCCAGTCGTGCAGCGGCAGCGTCGCGGCCGCCCAGAGCAGCTGCCGCAGCTGCGGCACCGTCATGGCGTCCGCGTGCTGCTCCGCCGCGCGCGCGAGCTCTGCGGGTGCGGCGCACGCAATGAAATGGCGGCGTCAGCTCTTGTCGGGTCGCAGGGCTGCCGGCGCGGGGCGCACATCGGCGACCCGTGGGCGGCCGAGACGGCGAGGGTGGCTGCAAACACATGGGCGCGGGGCGATGCGCAGCGCATCCCCAACCTCACGCCACCACGCGCGCCGCGCCCCGGCCCCCGCGCCGCCGCCCTCACCGGCCAGCACTGTCTCGTTGGTGCACCCGAGCCGCGCCAGGCTCCAGCCGAGCATAGCTAGGACCTTGCCGTCGACGCCCGCGCCGGATGAGATGCGGCCCTTGAGGCGGCCAACCAGCTGCGCCATGAACTCCACAGTGCCGGGCAGCAGCTGCAGCTTGGCGTACGAGTGCAGGATGGCCGCCAGCTGGGGCACATCAAGCCCCCCATGCACCTGGGGGCGGCGGGTTCGAAGCGAGGGCGTGTTTGGGCGCAGCAGCAGTCGGCCAGGGCGCGTTTGCTCAGGAGGGAGGGACGCCCGGTGGCGACGCGGCTGCACGCGAGGGGATGAACGTGTATGGTGGGAGTCTGAGGCTCCGACGGGCGTCTGGACACGCCCATCGGCGCTGCCGTGGGCCGTGCCACGCGCCAGCCGCGACGGCTGTGGCGGCGGTGGCCCAGCCGGCGGCCCAGGCAGGGAAGACCGAGCTGCTGAGCAGGGTTTTGGGGGTCCCGCCTGCGTGGCTTGAGCGAGGCCTAGGGTGCAGCTCAAGGATGCACCAGCTGTGCCGTGCGCGGCGCGCGCGCCCACCTGCACCAGCCGCGTCGTCAGCCGAATCAAGGCGTCGTTCAGCAACACCGCCTCCTCATCTGCCACCGCGCCAACACCCTGCGCCGCCTTCGACTGCTGCTGCTTCGCCTGCACCAGCACCGCGGCGCGCGAGAGCGCTATGCGCAGCGCCTCCGGCGCCAGCGGCTCGGGCGCGCCCGAGATGAGCGCGTGCAGCTCGCGCCCGCCGGCAGCCCGCTGGAGGTCGATCTCCGCCTTAGTGCGCTCTTCGGACGGCGTGCGCGCGCCAGCGGCGGCGCCGGCGGCGCCTCTAGGCGCGTCGACATGCGCGCGCGGCACGGGCTGCGGAACCATGACTTCGGGCGCCGCGCCGTCCCCACTGCTGCTGGCGGGGCCGTCGCCGCCGCCGCCGGCGGCGCCGTCGCCGGCGCTGCTCGCTGCGGCGTCGCTTTCGCTGCTGGGCACGCCGCTGCTGCCACTGCTGGCGGCGCCGCCGTCGCCGGCAGCGTCGGCAGCGGGGGCCCCGATGCTTGCGGCAGCATGCGCCGCGTCTCCAGCCTCTGTCGCGCCCGCTAGGGCGGCTGTGCTGAAGGCGGCCCCCGACGGTGGTATCGAGCTGGGGCCACAAACTGCATGCCCGCGGTCCGCAGTCAGCCGCCCAAAGCCCGGTAAAGAGCGGCTGGCCGACGGCTGGGCGCTGGTCGACGCGGCAGCGGTGCACCCGCCAAGCACCGCTCCGACATGCGACAGCGCCTGAGCGTCATGGCGCAGGTGCGCACGCGCAACAGCAGTGGGCGGCGGGTGACATGGTGTGGGGGGCGCAGCGAGCAGAGTGCGGCGCGCTTGCCACCGTTTTGAAAACATTGTTTAACACGACGCGACTCACCTGCTTGCAGGCTGCAGCCGCTGCGTTTGGAAAGAGCAAAGCTGCAAAGCAACCCCTCGACAGCATGGAATCTCTTTGCTTGAAGATAATAGATAATTTGATGTTCAATCGCGATGGATTTCACGCTTAGAGCACTCAGATTGACAAGCCAGTGATCTACAGATCAGGGAGAGTGACTACACATTGTAACGACCAGAAGTGTTCTTGAACGAGGACGTGTCACAGGAACAAATTGCGAAGAGGACCGTCAACGAGGGCAGCGTTCCATAGGCTGTCGGTACTTGTGCATTGGCAGGATGCAGCAAGCCACTTGTCCGCCTGTACGAGGCCAGAAAAGGCAAGCCATTTGTGGACTGCTGTTCTTCTCCCCGCCTGTGTGGGGCCTCTGCTAGTCACCACATATCGATTCAGTCGACAGATTCCCTGCGTCCACCGCTGTCCGAGCATGGCTGTATGGTCAACTGCATTTGGAAGGCATAGACCACACTCTTGCGCACTGCGTGTGTCAGAAAATGATACACATTACAGAGAACGAAACCTGGTCAAGTTGCATTGCGATTGCTGCAATGCCATCATCGGTCACGGGCAGTGCCAATGCGGCAACTGGGGCGCATGCCTGCCGCGCCTGCCGTTTTCAGTGCGGCCATGTGCCTGCCTGATTATCTAACTTGGCCTGCTATTGACGAAGGCCAACCATATGCGTCGCGTTGGAATATCCACAAAGATCACATTATTTCGAGCAACAATTGGCCACAGGCGGCGCCCAAAGCCAAGTGCCATCCAAGAGACGGCAGACACGCCTCCTGCACCTCGGGCGCCGCCAATGCACGCAGGCATGCGCACGATTCAGGAAAGGCCTCGATTGGCGCGCTCAACATACACATTTCTCAGTGTTGTGCCCGCACACCAAACACGGCTGCTTGCGTGCTGCGGATTGGCCGTCCATGACGGTGTGCAGGGCGAAGCGCGCGCATCAAGCGCGCGTTTTGCGCCCCACACATCCTGTAGACAGGCACAAAACAGGCTCCTGCATGGGTCCTTCACTGCTTTGGCTTTTGAGCGTGCGCCATCGCCCCAGCTCTCTGCCCCAGAGTGGCCCGCAACCGGCCGGGCAAGTGCCTGGCCGGCGCGGGCTATTGCCCCGCTCAACTGCCAAAGGAAGGGGAGCCCATCAAACAACAGTCAACGCCGAACGCGGGGCGGGGGCGGCGGCGCATTGTGCGCGGCGGCACAGGCCCGCTCCTGGGCGCAGCTCGCGGGCGAGCGCCTTATGGCAGCCAAAGCGTGGGGTTGCGATGGTGCTGAGTGAACAGAGGGGAGCAGGCAGGTGGCTCAGTAGTCGCTCGACAGCAGCGGGTGGGCGCCCTGTTGACGGCGGACCATTGCGAATTGAATGAGAGCGATCATGCCGGCCACCGAAGCGCCAACCGCCAGGCATGCGGCGCCGACGAGCAGCGCGACCGCGCGCCCGCTCATGCCGCTGTGCGCGCCCGCCAGCTGCTGCAGCAGCGCCTGCGCGGGCCGCCCGAGCGCCGCCGCGGGCGCCGCGCCGCCGCCGCCGCCGGGCGCAAGGCGCGTGTACGCGCGCGCATGCTGCGGCGCGGCGCAGTCTTGGCTGTGTGTCTTGACAGCCACGAACTGGCGGACTGTGTCCAGCGCGCGCGCGGGCGCGGGCGAGGCGCCCGAGCAGAACGCGTCCACCTCATCACAATCCAGGCCGGAGAAGGGCGCCGCACAGTGCGCCCGAAGGTCGCTGCAGCACTGCGCCTGCGCGCCAGGCGCGTCGGCGCCGTCCATGCGCAGCCGCGCACAGCTGCAGGGCGGGCTGGGGGGGCAGTCCACGAACAAGAAGGCCGCGATCTGGTCCGACAGCTGCGCAGCACGCGCATCCTCCTGAGAGTGCTGAGGCAGTGAGTAGAACGCCTCCAGCGTGGTGCACTCGAGCAGCGCGCCGGACGCCCCGCACTTGGCGAGCAGCGTCGCGCGGCACGCGGGCTCGCGGAGCGCCCAGGTGGCACCCGCGGCGTCGTAGCGGCAGTAGCAGACGCCGCCAGCGCTCAGGCCGTTGCTGGCAGCCGGGCGGCCGCGGTGGCCGAGAAGCAGCGACCGGGCGCCGGCGTCAGCGGCGCTGGCGCCGCACGCGGCGCACGGCGGGCACGTCGGCGCGCGGAGCGGGGCGCCAAACGGCGCGCCGCCGGCGGGTGACGTCACCGCGATGAGCCTGCGCGCTACAGGGCGGCTGCCGTCCGCCGCGAAGGATGATTCATTGGCGGGCGCGACAGTGGCGCGCTGCGCGGTGCCCTGGCC